TTTATTAGATTTTGGGTTTAGAAGCTTTAGTCCAACATTGGCTTCAAATCCATAAAACATTTAAATAAAATAGAGATGGAGCCTTTCCATACAAAATCTTATAGAGAAAATGTTTTGATCTACTTATTAGTTGGTATTAGTACTCAAGGTACAATTTATAGTGTTATTGGTTTAATCCCTAGGAAATAAAAGGAGGCCATTTCTATTTATTAGAAATTAAATCATACCAAGTAAGATTTTGTGACAACCCGGAAAAATTTTTGATTTTAAAGCCCAGTCAATCAACTCAAATGAGTGTCAAACTCATTAGTACTGAGTTCTAGCCCGGTTAAAGGTCATCCTAAGGAGTTTTGAGCCTAATACACTTAAGGATTAAGTGTCAGAAAGTACCTGCTAAAGACTATGTACAACACTAAAGCCCTAAACTCCAACATGTGGAGTTTACGGCCGTAAACATGGAGTTTACGACCGTAAACCCAAGGTAGGCTGTGAACCCCACCTTATAACCTCATTTCCTTCACTTTTCCTCATTCTTACACTTTCACCTCAAGAACACATGAGTTTTCTCTCAAGTATCATCCCGATCTTCATAATTGATCTTCAAAAATCATAAGTGTTCTTTCTACAGTTAGTTGTTAATCATTCTTAACTAGCTTCATCCTCATGATTCATCCATGGAAATCATGTTTTCTTAGATCTTCAAGTTTCACCAAGAACACCAAGAACACACACTAGTGTTCTTGGCCAATATCAATCATTTCAAGCTTCTAGATCGTAAGTACTCTCCCCTATACTTCTTATCTAGTTAGTATCCATGCTTAGAGACTTGAAACATCCACTTTCCCATGAACATCTTGAGTTTACGGTCCAAGATCTTCCTTGACCGTAAACTCAATGTTGAAGCATGTATTGGCCATAAACCCTATAAGATGCAAAGCTAGTGATCCAGAACCCTTCCTTGATGTATGAAGGACCTTAAACTCCACTCAAATACATAATGACCATGAGTTTACGGCCGTAAACTCCTTTGGGCCGTAAACTCATCAAAAGCCTCATTTGAGGTGGTCTTCCTCATACAAGTGTAGAACAAGAGTCCCTAAAGTTTCCCTAGCTTTCAAACCAACACTTAGCCATGTTTGACCATGAGTTTACGGCCGTAAACTCATGTTAGTGCCATTTCACTTTCCTTTGTTGAATCACATGTGATTCCAACACTTGGTCAAGGTGTTTCCTAGTCCCGGAAGGTGTTTCCTTTCATATAGTTGTTTATAAACACTATATTCATGTCAATATGTGTCCTTATATGTCATTTAGGACTTATTGAGTCTCGGGACTTAATTCGTGGAACTTCTCATCCTTACACGCATACCCGTTTGAATCACCCACATCAGGTAAGTTCATACCCCGTAATGAATCTTTTAATTGTTTCAAATGTTTTAAGGGGAGGAATACAAGTTGAACACAATGATAATTGTGTAAATGTTTGTTATAAATATCTTTCAAAATGTTACTTATGTCATTTATAAGTTGTCAAAACATTTCAAAAACTCTTTTAAAGTTATGTTACTTTATAGTTATACAAAACTCCGTTTTTAAAGTACAAGCATAACTTAGTGGATAAATGAGTCTTTTCAATAACAGTCCAAGTAGAACATTAGTAAACTATAATAGGTATAGTTTAGGAGAATGCTATTCATTACTTCTAGTACAATGAAGCATACAAAGAGTCAGTTCTTACATGAGTCAAAAACACAGTGAAGAGAAACAAACAATACCATACAGAACATATAGTGAAGAGAATCAAACAATACCATACAGAGAGAACACACAATTACGAGAAACAAACAGAACGTACAATATACAGTACAAAACAAACAAGTTAGGTTGCTATAGCATGAGAACACATGCAGGATCTAATTATACCAATGAATCACTAACTCATTGTTTTAAACAAAAGGTGATAGTTATATTGGGTATACATGATCATATACTTTAATGTGAATTACACGGCTTGCAAGAATTTGCAGAGGTCGCGTTTGGTTCCTTTAATCTCTAGACAGGGAGAGCGTTTAGTAGGGGTTCTAGCCTTCACAGTATAACCGTAATAAAACAAATATGTTTTTAGGTTATTAGTACATCCGCATGTCATTATAAACGACAATTGTGTACTTACATTTCCCATTACTTTCATAAAGTGACAGTACCACTTGAAAGTCAAACTAAAAGTATTTTCGAGTCAAGATAGTTATAAACTAGGGAAAATATACATTTTTACAATCGACAAACGGAACAGTCGAGTCTAGCACGTAACAGAAGATGCCTTGGTAGAAGGCTACGTTTAAAAGAAAGGACCATAATGCTAGTCTTATGATTCCTTAATGTATACATCACAGGATATATATATACCAATAGGTTCCGACTGGTAACAGGATATGTGCTCTCCGCTTCATTTCCTGTTCCTTGTTTGGTTGTGGGCTTGGAACGAATTCACCCAATCTATTTTCTATCCGATTCTATATATATATGTATGCTTAGTATACATTAAGTCATCATAAGGGTACCAGGTATGGGTCAGGTTATAGGACACAGAGTCAAAGCACAGTTTTTCTAGTACAAAACATACTTTCCAAAATCAGTACTTTTGGTATACAAAACTAGAAACTTCCCAGTAAAGGGTTTAATCGATTTTATTAAACCAGTACAATTTAAAGGACCTTAGGCGAGTAACTCTATAATAACTTATTTCATACACCATGTTTATATATAAAACTAATACCCAATAGGTAGTTGGATGTGTGATTTCCGCCTTACTCCATGTTCCTCGTTTGGTTGTGGGCTTAGGGCAGATTCACTCAATTAACTTTCTATCCGATATTAGATTATATATAGCAGTATAAACTAAGCTATTATAAAAGTAGTCACTGTGGTCACCATTTTATTATAAGAAATATGGGTTTTCTTAAAGAACTTTTCATTAGATATAAAGGAACCATTACAATTAACTCCATGAGTAACAAGTGTTTACACTAGGGTTATATACGACGATGATCTAACAACCAATGGGATGTGTGCTATCCGCCTAAATTTCTGTTCCTCGTTTGGTTGTGAGCTTAGGGCAGATGCGCACAATCGATTGTTTGTTTACTCTGAGTCTTATATAACTCGTATCCGCTTAGTACCCATAGAAAGGGTTGTAGTGTCATTTTACTTAAACTTCCATCAAAGTAGGAAATATAGGATTTTGTATAGGAACAGGCGAACTTTTCAAAACAGAACTTACAATTTACAACATTTTACAACTACATGTTACAACTACATTTTCAACACCATTTTACATCTACATTTTCAACAACACTTTACAACTTACTCACATCACTAAACTCTTATCAACTCACCAGCTTAATTGCTGATCAACTCTTTCAAATAACTTGTATTCTCAGGAGACTATTAGACAGGTGCTCGTGCTGGGGATTCAGAAGGTGGAGCATTATAGCTTCAAGTCTTGTTTTGTTATTTGTTTATGAATTCTATGTTTTGTGAACACACAAATTGTAAACACTTTCTTTCGAAATGAAATGGTTGTTCATTACTTGCTTACCATATACATATCTCTTGATACTAAACATGACATCCTCCACCCCTGAACGATTCCGCCGTTCCGGTTTTGGGGTGTGACAGATTGGTATCAGAGCATTGTTTATAGTGAACTAAGTATATCAGCCGATAAAAGATATACAACTATAAATACAATGGGGCTTAAGTGCTCTGGATAATGATATATTTTTAGAATATAACTATAGGTTATAAAAATATACCTACTTGCTTATACATGTACATAATAGAACTAGTGTCATGAGGAGAACAGAACTAAAGTGTTTAAAGGTTGGGCACTGTCGTCAACCTGAACAGTTATGTAATCATAGCTAGGATCAATATAGCCTGATCAACTATATTCATTCGAGATGTGACCGACATGTGTTTGGGAATGATGTGGTGTTGCAACAGTGTTAAAACTTACCTGAACACCAGTCAAGAGAACACCAGAACAAGTACATTTAGAGTTAGAATACTTTAGGAGTATTCTATGATATGATAGCGCGACAACGAGTTTAGAACATACCAAGTACATTACGTTAAAATATTATAGGAGTATTTTAGTCCATATAAATAACCTATGTGATAACTTAAAAGACCCTTACGGATAGGTCTATAATCTTGCAAGGTATATTCCTAAAGTTTTATATATAATCAAGATCTTATAGACTTAGAATCTGTGGTCTACGCTTCGCTATCCATTCCTCTTAAGGGTGTAGTTTTGGAGTAGGATCACTTATTCGAAGGTCTATTTAATCTTCAACTATATACAAACTTGTATACATTGTACAATTATAGGAGGACTCCGTAAGGATCACCCCATAAAGTTACCTTAAAACTCATAGATTCTTTAGTCACTTTCATTCTCACACGACAAGCCCAGATAGATGTAACCACTTCCTCATAGTAGACAACAGAAGAGTCCAGGAGGAACAAGAACAAGTTCATGAGAAGTTTTCAAAGAGGGATCAGCCGAAGTAACCAAAACATCTTACACGTCACACTAATAAATAATAATCTGGTTAATTTAATGAGCGAGTGGAAACACTGCTCACATTATATGTTAATATTATTTTTTGACAAAACTGTAAAATTGGTCCTTGTGGTTTGTGAAAAACTTTGGATAAGGTCCAAAAAATTTTCAACTTGCATGGAAGGTCCAAAATCAAAAACTTCCTGTGATTTTGGTCCAAAAAAAACTTGAAAAGACGGTTATGCCCTTTTGTTTTCTTTTTGTATTTTCTATAATTATTCTAATACTATTATAATACTTTTTTTGTATTTTTTACTTTAAAAATAAAAAGAAAAGAAAAACTTATCCCCCACTCCCACCCACCCATCACTCCCTTCCTCTCTCTCTCTCTCTCTCTCTCTCTCTCTCTCTCTCTTAACCCACCTTCGACATCATGGGGAGCTCGAACTCCACAATCCAAAACTACAAATCATCTAATAATTTTTCTCTAAATTCAAAAACTTGTTATGGGTACCCAATAGGGCTCGAATTTGGTGGTAATTTGGAGTTTAATTTTGGTTTCAGAATGAGGAATAGAGTGAGGGCATTGAAGAATGGTGATGAGGGGAATTGGTGGAATTTTCCGACGGTGAATGTTATGAACATTTCACCGCTAGTGGCGGCAACAATACTGGCTTCGGGAAAGGTAAAGAAAGCTCCGGTGGAAAAGAAGTACAAGAAAATGGAGGAATTGATGAAGAGGTTGGAATCAGAATTAGAGCAGGGGAATTTGAATCAAGGAGAGGAGAATTCAAGTCCTGAAATTGGGTCCAGATTGCTATTGAAATTGAATTACGAAGAGATGATGAAACCTACAAATCATACCTGCAGATCAGTTTTCGGTAAGATAAGGGAGAACTGGATAATATAGCAGACAAGGAGTTGAGAGCAAAACGTTGAAGTACAGATGTGGGTTAGTAGCTGTCAAAGTGGAATTTACGAGAGGGTATTCCACCGAACATGCTTTCAAATCCATCTCCTCTAAAATCGGACAATGAAATTCCTACTATTGTTCTCCTCTAAACGTCGACAGAGGAACCCTCATCAACCCTAATCAGAGTTGTCCCTGATACACACCATTAGAGCTGGAATCACCAATTTGATCGTAGTCAATCTCAAAGAAGAAATTCGAGGTGAAGAAACACGATGGGGAAGAAGCGTGAAGTGAACAGATTGAAAATTCTACACGAAGATAAGAAAGATGGGTTGAAGATGAAGGGTGGGGAAGAAGATCTGAATAGAAAAGATCGTATGTATGTATGAGAGAGAGAGAGAGAGAGTACGGTGGGGGTAGGGGTGATAAATTCTTTTTTTCTTTAAAAAAAATCAAAATAACATTAAAATATTTATAGAAAAATGAAAATAGAAATCAAAAGGGCATAACCGTCTTTTTAAGTTTTTTTGGACCAAAAACCTAGAAAAACCTTGATTTTGGACCTTTCATGCAAGTTGAAAACTTTTTTGACCCTATCCAAATTTTTTTGAATACCACAAGGACCAAATTTGCAGTTTTGTCTTATTTTTTTACATGCAGCTGGTAACAGTTATTCAGGAAACAGATATTCATTCGAAGATAGTTATTTCAAATTCATAGAGTTTATTAGGTATAGACTCTTTTATGAATTGTTTCTAGAACCCTGTGGAAGTCAGGACCCGATACATCCAGAAGTAGGATAACCTTGTCTTTTCAGCTTTCGGCTTGAGTCCATTGCTTTAGACTTATTCCGTCTCCTCTTTGTATCCTTTTAGCAAAGATGACTCCTCGCAGATCTAGTAGACGCACTACTCCTATAACTCCAACGCAGCCTCCTTCGCAAATAGATATGGCAGCTATAAACGATGTAGTGGATGTGGCTGTGGCAACAGCCATGGCTCAATATCACTCCATCAGTACCAGCGGAGGTGAAACGCCTACTGATTCTACTCGAGTTGAGGTCCTTGTGCGCTCGAGAGAGTTCTCCTACAAGGACTTCACCAATTGCCAGTCATCGTCCTTTAATGGGACTAAAGGAGTCATTTCCCTCTTGCAATGGTTCGAGAAAACAGAGTCGATCTTCGAAATCTGTTTGTGCCCAGAAGAGAGCAAAGTAAAGTTTGTTGCCTGCACCTTCTCTGGCAAGGCCCTAACATTGTGGAACAGCCATGTTAAGTCACTGACCCTATCAGTGGCTAACTCAATAGGTTGGGAAAACCTAAAAGAGTTAATGCGGGAGGAATACTGCCCGTTAGGCGAAATTCAAAAGCTGGAACAAGAGCTGTGGGATCTCACTATGGTCGGCTCAGACATAGTGACCTACACTGACCGATTCAGCGAGCTAGCAGCTCTATGCCCCGGGATGGTTACCCCGGAGAGCAAGAAGATAGAAAGATACATTTGGGGTCTGACTGCTCCGACCCAAGGAAATGTATTATCTTCTAACCCAGCCACGTTCGATAGTGCTAAACGCCTGGCTCAGCGACTCATCGACCATGGAGTCCGCCATGGTGTAAAAGTCCCTATTCCCGAGCCATCGAGGGAAGAGGACTATAATCAGAAGTCGGGGAACGAGCGAGTACTATGTACGTCGCTACGACACAAGACACCTCGCAAGAGCAACAGAAGAAGCGAACAACACAAGACACCCCGCAAGTTGAGGAAGAAGAAGCGAACAACACAAGACACCCCGCAAGAGCAACGAGCGAGTACTATGTACGTCGCTACGACGCCTACTGCTTCAGTACCTGCCAGTCGATATGCTGGAAACCTCCCGAAGTGTGGAAAGTGCAACTTTCACCACACCGGAGTATGCCAGGAAATGCAGTGTCTGAACTGCCACAGAAAGGGACACACAGTCCGTTTCTGCAGGGCACCGGCTCAACCGATCTCCCAAGTCCTCGGAGCTGAAGAAAACCAAGCCTGATATGGCTGTGGTGAGGCTGGACACTATCAGAGGGACTGCCCGATAATAAGGAACCCAGGCGCGGATGGACGCATTCTGATGATCACCGCAGGAGAATCTACCCCGGAGTCGTTGACGAGTAGCGGTACGTTTTCGAAATAGTAATTACTTTTAAAATTAATTTATATTCATATAAGATTAAAATTTGGGGATAACACTTAAAAGTAACTATAACAACTCACATGTTAAAATAGATCATAGTATTCAAGAGAACTAAAAGATCCCTTAGAGAAGCTATTATGGCTTACCATATACATCAGGGTTGTGCACAACTAAGATGTTGTAGACTTAGAGTGAGTGACTCCGCTTAGGTCCCCATTCCTTAATTGGTTGAGGATTTGAGTCAGAGTTACTCAGTCGACTGCCTGGTTCATCTTAAATATTCATAACTTGTATATGGCAGGCAATTGTAGTGGTACCAAGGAGGATTATGATATAAAGTATCCCCACCAGTTATTAGAGCACTTTCGTTTGTATGTATGCGCACATAGCGGTACGATACGTAGGAGTGTTAACATCAAAGACGAAACAGGAAACGCGGGAACATTTACAAAGAGTACATTGTCGAACATACTAAGAGTACAGTATCGAGCATACAAGGGATACATCGTCGTATATCAGACGTTTCAGTAAAGAGTCCGTTGCTTTCATTCGTCATGAGTTGGCGTGGTCCTCACCATACTGAGTTCATATGTTTCTATCGCCTCGATCGGCAAGTTCTCGAAACTTTCGTCATTAGTATCGAAAGTCCGACCTAAACCTCAATTTTATCTTTCATATTCTAAACCCCGAAGTACTCATGCGAAGAGTACTTTGTCCTCCGAAGCCTTATCGTCAGATGTCCGTAGACCGTCACGAAATACCGCTCGTCCAGCAAACCAAGTTCGAGCACAGAAGCTAAGGACGAATACAGCCCACCTATTACTATTCAGTGTATACGCGAGGATGGTATATGATTATGATTACGCAGATTTAGTATGTGTGTTTCCGCCCTATCTCCTGTTCCTTGTTTGGTTGTGGACCTGGGGCAGAGTCGCACATCCGACCGTCTTACTAACCCTAATTATATACGACTTGTATATACGAGGTAATGATAGATGGACCAAGTACGAATCCTATCATGAACAGAAGGGCAAAGTTGCCAAGTCTACGAATGGGTATTCTGCTAATCAGAGGAGCGCAACCCCAGTAGTAATGCTAAGAAAGCTAATTTCGGGACGAAATTCCATCTAACGGGGGGATGATGTGACAACCCGGAAAAAAATTTGATTTTAAAGCCCAGTCAATCAACTCAAATGAGTGTCAAACTCATTAGTACTGAGTTCTAGCCCGGTTAAAGGTCATCCTAAGTAGTTTTGAGCCTAATACACTTAAGGATTAAGTGTCAGAAAGCACCTGCTAGAGACTCTGTACAACACTAAAGCCCTAAACTCCAACATGTGGAGTTTACGGCCGTAAACATGGAGTTTACGGCCGTAAACCCAAGGTAGGCCGTGAACCCCACCTTATAACCTCATTTCCTTCACTTTTCCTCATTCTTTCACTTTCACCTCAAGAACACATGAGTTTTCTCTCAAGTATCATCCCGATCTTCATACTTGATCTTCAAAAATCGTAAGTGTTCTTTCTCCAGTTAGTTGTTAATCATTCTTAACTAGCTTCATCCTCATGATTCATCCATGGAAATCATGTTTTCTTAGATCTTCAAGTTTCACCAAGAACACCAAGAACACACACTAGTGTTCTTGGCCAATATCAATCATTTCAAGCTTCTAGATCGTAAGTACTCTCCCTTATACTTCTTATCTAGTTAGTATCCATGCTTATAGACTTAAAATATCCACTTTCCCATGAACATCTTGAGTTTACGGTCCAAGATCTTCCTTGACCGTAAACTCAATGTTGAAGCATGTATTGGCCATAAACCCTATAAGATGCAAAGCTAGTGATCCAGAACCCTTCCTTGATGTATGAAGGACCTTAAACTCCACTCAAATACAAAAGTCCCTAAAGTTTCTAAAGTTTCCCTAGCTTTCAAACCAACACTTAGCCATGTTTGACCATGAGTTTACGGCCGTAAACTCCATTGGGCCATAAACCCATGGCCGTAAACTCATGTTAGTGCCATTTCACTTTCCTTTGTTGAATCACATTTGATTCCAACACTTGGTCAAGGTGTTTCCTAGTCCCGGAAGGTGTTTCCTTTCATATAGTTGTTTATAAACACTATATTCATGTCAATATGTGTCCTTATATGTCATTTAGGACTTATTGAGTCTCGGGACTTCATTCGTGGAACTTCTCATCCTTACACGCATACCCGTTTGAATCACCCACATCAGGTGAGTTCATACCTCGTAATGAATCTTTTAACTGTTTCAAATGTTTTAAGGGGGGGAATACAAGTTGAACACAATGATAATTGTGTAAATGTTTGTTATAAACATCTTTCAAAATGTTACTTATGTCATTTATAAGTTGTCAAAACATTTCAAAAACTCTTTTAAAGTTATGTTACTTTATAGTTATACAAAACTCCGTTTTTAAAGTACACGCATAACTTAGTGGATAAATGAGTCTTTTCAATAACAGTCCAAGTAGAACATTAGTGAACTATAATAGGTATAGTTTAGGAGAATGCTATTCATTACTTCTACTACAATGAAGCATACAAAGAGTCAGTTCTTACATGAGTCAAAAACACAGTGAAGAGAAACAAACAATACCATACAGAACATATAGCGAAGAGAATCAAACAATACCATACAGAGAGAACACATAATTACGAGAAACAAACAGAACGTACAATATACAGTACAAAACAAACAAGTTAGGTTGCTATAGCATGAGAACACATACAGGATCTAATTATACCAATGAATCACTAACTCATTTTTTTAAACAAAAGGTGATAGTTATATTGGGTATACAT